GCAGTTAAGATCTAGCCAGGGGGCCCTTTTGAAAGAGCCACCCCTCGAGGAGATAAGAGGGATGGCTTGTAGACAAAGGGCCTTTTCGGCAGCTGCCCCCAGACTATGGAATGCCCTACCGACTGAGATTCATCTGGCACCGACGCTGATGACATTTTGGCACCAGGTCAAAACCTTCCTGTTCCAGAAGGCTTTTAATTGAAAAAATATCAGCTGTGTGTCCGATGGCAATTTTTAGAGTTTATATTTTAATTGCATTTTAATTGTTTGACTTTTTATTGTATTTTAAATGTTGTAAGCTGCCCAGAGACCTTTGGGTAGTGTGGGCGGCATATAAATTAAATAAATAAATAAATATTTTATATAGCCTTTCTAGAGTACCACACAGAAGTTTAAAAAAATTATAGTTTCATAAAATCATTATATAAAACTGTTAATATAGAAACTCTAGGATCAATAGTTAAAACAGACTCTCCTTCACATTTTAGACTAGATTAGGCATCCTTCATTCTTGAGAGACTATGGTAATGTGCTCTGAACAGAGGACTTGGAACAGCATCTAGTGTGGCTTAGAAAGCCAGTTTGAGAGTGGCAATCCCTTCCACACTGAAGACAAATACAATCTGTCCCCTGTCGACCTCTCTGATGTTGCTGGTTTTGGGACTGCCTCTTTGCCTCGGCCTGCTGGACAAGGGTCTCTTCAAAATGGGAGAGGCCATGATGCACCTCCTGTGCTGCCAGGCTGAACACTCAGATGTCACAGTTTCCTATCTCTTGAGGTCCATTCTTAAGGCCTTCAGATCCCGCTTGCAGATATCCTTATATCACAGCTGTGGTCTCCTTCTGGAGCAATTTCCCTGCACTAATTCTCCATACAGGAGATCTTTTGGAATCTGACCATCAGCCATTCTCACGACATGCCTAAGCCAATGTAGACGTTGCTGTTTCAGTAATGTATAAATGCTAAAATATCCAGCTTGTTCTAGGACTACTCGTATTTGGAACTTTGTTCTGCCAGGTGTCCCCTCACTCGTCTAAGGCTGAAGGATTCGGCACTGCCTTTAGTTTATTGCCTTCTACGGTCCAGGCCATGGCATTGGGAGGAGAAGGCGGGAAGTTAAGAGAAAAGGGAAGCGGGAAGTCAGTGGTGGGAAAAGAACCAACAGCGGAGGATTTCTTGATGACAAAGGAAGACCTGTTTGGGTTAGGAGATATAAAGAAGGAAAAGAGGAGCTGGGGGTCAGAAGAGTGGGAAGGTCCTGAGACAGAAGATAGAGGGGAAGGTAAGTCACTGTCTCAGGGTACCAAGGGGCCCTATATACCGTATTTTTTCATGTATAAGACACCCCCACTTTTCTAACCCAAAATTAAGAAATCTAAGTGGGGCTTAACAAATGTAGGGGAAAGGGATCAAAGCCCTGCAGGATCACTTTGATCCCTGCTTACCCCTCCACTTGTTTTTGTCTCTCCTCAGCTTACTTTCGTGTATAAGACGACCCTCAATTTTTAGTCTAAAGATTTTAGACAAAAGTATAGTCTTATACAGGGAAAATACAGTATTTTTCTTTCTCCAAGAGAGACAAAGGACCACAGGGGAAGGAAGGTTCAAAGGGGAAAGGAGGATGGAGGAACTGAATTACAGTTGGGAGAGGTAGAACCTTTAGAATGAACCATGTATGTTTATCTGAGAGGGAAAGGTCCTTCAAAGAAAGTGGTGTGTCTGGATCGGATCTGATCCCCACAGGTGTGACACAGCCTGAAGGCAACTGGGCTCGACACCCCTGTTGTGGGACTATTTGTGTAGTGAGGAGTCAACCCATGCGGAAGCCTACCGATTGTGAGAGGTTTGGAATGCCCCCTCATTAAGAACTCTTTTGGGATGCTGTGGTTACAAAGGATGTGGCCTGATGCATCTATGGTTGCTGGTCCTGGTGGACCCACTGAAGTTGTTGTTCACATTACACCATTTAACATATTAAACTGTTGTCCAATATTACACTGTCTACTGTGATGCCTTTCTTTAAAGGGGAGGAACCGCCCATCTTAAAATTAGAACCCAATCACAATGGCCAGCAGCAACAAAAGGCCTAACACGCCTCTGACATTAGCAGGGCCAAGAGACGGGCCTGTGCCCAGATATCAAAGTCCAGATGTGCTTCAGGGATTTAGGCATCTGGCTGTAGAGCCAGAGGTTGGGAGTTCAATTCTCCACTGGACCTCCTTGACAAGGGCTGGACTTGATAATCCATTAGGTCCCTTCCAGCTCTGCAATTCAAAGGTTATTATGATTATTAATAGTTTTACAGAGAGACTGGACCAAAGTTGCATTGGACTTCATAGGCCATATTCAACACTTGGAAAAATGTACAAAACTGGATCAGAAACCAGTGAGACTATTTTAACAGGAGAGTAATTGATGAACTGTACTCAGAAACAAATCAGTAGGCTGCTGAAGGATTGTTCTAATACGGTTCCATGGGCAGGCACTCACAAACATCCTCATAGCTACACTTCAGAGCTGCTCAGACTCTTTAAAGCCAGCTCCATGTAAAAGACATTACAATAATTCAAATAAAATATAATGAAGGTATTGGTGGTCTGGACCAACTTCCCCATGAACTGGCATGGTTGGCATATATGTGGAGCTTCGCCAAAGCCACTCCTAGACACAGGCCATCCAGCCATCAAGTGTAAGATCAATTTTTGTTGTTGTTTAGTCGTTAAGTCATGTTCAACTCTTTGTGGCCCCATGGACCAAAGCACACCAGGCCCTCCTGTCTTCCACTGCCTCCCGGAGTTAGGTCAAATTCATGTTGGTAGCTTCGATGACCCTGTCCAACCATCTCATCCTTTGTCTCCTTCTCCTCTTGCCTTCACACTTTCCCAACATCAGAGTCTTTTCCAGGGAGTCTTCTCATGAGATGGACAAAGTATTGAAGCCTCAGCTTCAGGATCTGTCCTTCCAGTGAGCACTCATGGTATGATCAATTACAGCAGCGGTCCCCAACCTTTTTTGGACCGCAGACTGGCTGAGCCTGAGAAAGGCGCCTCCCTACAGGTGTGTGTACGCTCTCGGAAGCATGCGTGAAGCGGTAGGGGAGCGCCTGCCTGAATGCTCCCCCACCCCGTTTGCACATGTACAGGGGTGCCTGCACACCCTGGGCGCCTGTGTGAAGGGGTGGGGGAATGCTCACAATGGCACTGGTACGCGCGCAAAGCAGCTGTGGGGAGTGGAGTGCATGCGGGGGAGAGCCAGAGGTCTTTGTGGTCCAGTCCAGCTCAGGCCATGGACTGGCACCGGGCCACGGACCGGGGGTTTACGACCTATGAATTACAGGATCCCAGATTGCAAACATGATTTTTCAAGAAGAGTACTACCTCATTCAAAGATTAAATTCCTGTCCTAGAGCACCTTGTTCTGCAGCAGTACCTCATTGTCTTGCCCTCAACTTCTTAGTACTCATTCAGCCCATTTCTAACTGATTCAAATCAAGATTACACAAAAAAGGGGGAAACTTTCATATTAGTGGCAATGCACTTTAGATTTCTAGACACTCTCTTTTAATGAATATATAAAGATATTTATTAACACGAGGAACAGGACTACAAGATGCCACTAACCGACCAAAACACTGCAGAAAAGTACCTCTCAATATCACCTTCTGGAACAGGCCTCAGAAGAGTGTTGGTTTCTCACAAACCCATTATTAGGCAGTCTAGAATGCTTAATTTAATTGATGTCTATTACAATCATGAGGGATGCATCTCACCAGCCCTGTGCAGTTCCCACTGCAAATCACCTATTAAGTCATTTCACTCCATAAACTAGAGTGAAACCAGATCGAAATGGGTGTAACCAATTTCACCCAAGACTTCCTAGAGGTTATGTGCCAATACATGAGCCTTCTTTTACTTGGTAGCCTCCAACTAATTCTCATCAGTCGAGAAGTGCAGTATCATGGGAGTTGTAATCAAAATGATCTGAACGGCACTAGGTTGGGGGAAGCTACATCCTCAAATAATTTTCCAATAGCAAATTTGAGACAACCAGAAATTATCCAACAGAGAGGGATCCAAAGTTGTTTTTAATCAGGAAAGATATCACAATAGCTGTCTTAAGATTCAATGGGTATAGGACATCCTTACAGGTGGCATCAGTTACTCACTTAACCAATCTTTCTCTGCCTGCTTTAATCAGACAGATGGACTTGGAGCAAGAATGCAAGAGATTAATCTTAGACTATCTTGAAGGGTATCCATCACAGCAGTCACTTAATAAAAGTGAAGACCGAATGCCTTTTCTGTCTGTATACATTTTATGCAAGTACAGATGTGGTGCTCTAAAATTTTCCAATGTTTGCAATTTAGTTTTTTTCCTCCCATGAATTGAACTACTAAATCTGGCATGGTGTTTCTACGGCTTAGAAACATATGATACATTATGAGTTTCCCTCTCTGGGGTCATATGGCAGAAAATATTTAAAGAAAAACATAAATTCATAACAGGTTCTTTTATATACTTCATTTGCTCTTTATACTATTATAAAGTTCCTTCTCTTTTTTCACAACTTACCTAGAGGGCATGCAAGCCCAACAGTGAGCTCAACAGAATCATAAAGGAAAGTGAAAACTGCCTGATTATCATTCCATTCTTTTATTACCCATTCAGAGAAGCTATAAAAAGAAGAAAGGACATTACAGGATACAAAAAATTCATCAAATGACACTGACATGAACACCAACACCTGTTATAATATTCTTCCTCATCTCCTACCATGCTGCCTTATCCTAAAACAAATCCCCAGGGGGCGGGGCGGGGGGAGGCATTTTCTGCTATTATGCACCATGATGTAAAATAATGGTACTCCAAGAATAATTTTTCAATAGGAAGATGTATTGTTCCTGCAGCCTTTATAACTCCAGAAGTCTCTAAGCCGAAATCTGGTAAGCTGCCACTATGTTATTGATTTGAATAACATTTTGCAGACCCTAAAGGAATAAGACTCTGTAGCAAAATGATTCTACACCACCAGAATATTGTCACCCTAACATCCTGAAATTCCAGAACATTGTGAACTCCAAATATTATAGGCACCAAAAAAAATGTGTTATAGAATTTACAAACATGGCTGGCTTCATGTTTACATACTGTAACGTAAACAAGTTCATTATAACAAACAGTTCAACTGTCAGGAAACATTATTGCTCAGTGACCTTGCTGTTTGGGAGAGCTAGCTAATTGTTTTGGAATGACTATAATAAACTATTGTTCAAGCCTCAATTTTAAAAGTACTTTGATTTTCAGGGCTGTTTTCCCATACTCCCCTTAATTATTTTAATACTCTATACATACAAAATCTCAAACTTTGATAACACTCTAAATTTATTCCTGACAGAGATTAATCTCTAGAATTTCACTAATCTTAGCAAAACAGGAACAAGAGATGTTATCATGAAACTGTATGTCATATCAAAATAAGATCCTCTTTATTAAAATTCACTTACTTGTATTTCTCTACCAGCTCCTGAGAATTTTTTATATCTTTCTGGATATGGCATATCTCAGAAGCTATTTGTTTCTTTTTATCTTTGAGATTTGATTGGGTTCTATAGGGATACAAGCAAATAAGTACAACAAATGAGCAAATTATTGTAAATTGATTCACAGCAATCACCCCCGCCTGAAAATTTCATGCTAATTATTACCTTTGAAAAGTTTCATCTTGGGCTCTGAGATTTTCCAGCTCTAAAAATTGGAGAAGTATACATTAAGATTCTAGAAGGAGATTACAATCATAGATGTTTATACTATCTGATTATGGAGGTATGGTCCCAACAACCAATTCAATTCCTCTCTAATGGCCAACTTGTATTCTGTGAAATTATTATATAAAAATAATTAGTTTACGGCCTAGTGAATCTTACATATGAGGCAAAATACTTGTTTTTTGAATATTTTGTTACAGCATGTAATAAAGCACACATGCACTGAAAAGATGCAAGCAACCACAGAAACATCCAATGATATGCAAGCAAACATCTGTTCACACCACAGGACTTCCCCTCCCATCCCCAACTGCCAAATCAGTTCTGGAAGATGTTTTTAAGCAATGCTAAGACACATGAAGGAGCCTCTGGTTTATTCCTAAAGACATCAGGCACTGTACACATACCCCACCAGTCTTAGCATTCACAGCTTTCTACCTCATTAAGCTCAAAAGAGTCTCATTACCTCTTTCAGCATTTCTTAGTTTGGACTCATATTCTGACATGGCATTGTAGGCATTCAGGTCACAATCTTCTATCAAAGCAATTTCTAAAATGCAAGTGGAAAGGAGAGTTTCAAATAAAGATTGCCACTTTAAATTAGCTCCAGCAGAAAATCAAGTTGTCATAAACTCTTTGAGGCTGTACCTGTCTCCAGAGCAACAAGGCAGCTATCTGTTTCTTTCAAAAGCTCATCTATTTTACCTAGTCTTGATTGTAGCTTTTCCCACTGAAACTTAAAAGGAAAAAAATGGCTATTTAGAACACACTTTTGTTCATTAAGTCAATCTGTATATGATCATATAGATGTATTTGATCTTAGCAATCTCTTATTAATATTTGCTTGCTAACTACACAATAACATTAGTTTTTCTTAAGTGTTGTTCTATTATATCTATATCCAGCTATTATACACAGTTACCAATAGCTTTGTATTCAATGGTCTGCACATGCTTAATTTCAGCAACACAGCAGTTACCAAATGCTCCTAGATCATTACTGTGACTACAAATGAAACCACACACACACACACACACACACACAAAAGACTAAAAACAAACCAGAGTAGCTATGCATTTTTAAAAAAAGATGCTAAATTACTTGTATGACAGGATTACTGAAGTAGATTCAGTGGTTGTAGTGCAGATTTGATACAAGAGACCTAGGTTCACAGAAGAACTCCGCTCACGATGAAATCTTGATTAATAAGCCTAGCCTATCTCCTCTACTACAGTGGTGCCTCGCATAACGAGCGCACCATTTAACGACGAATCCACATAGCGATCTATTTTTTTAGATCGCTAATGTGACCGCATTGCAATGTTTTAATGGGTAAAACATCGCACTGCGATGATCGGTAAGCGTTTCGCTTACCGATCTTTGCATTGCGATGTTCCTAGAACAGCTGATCAGCGGTTCCAAAATGGCCACCGGATGCCCCAAATGGCCACCGCAAATGTTTTCGCGCCCTGCCCTCGCTTACCGAGGGCGCGAAAATGGCGGCGCTATGGAGGAACTTCACTGAACGGTGAGTTTGGGCCCCATAGGAACGCATTAAACAAAGTTTAATGCTTTAGGTAAAGGTTCCCCTTGACAGTTTGTCCAGTTGTGTCCGACTCTAGGGGGCGGTGCTCATCTCCGTTTCCAACCCATAGAGCTAGCGTTTGTCTGAAGACAATCTTCTGTAGTCACGTGGCCAGCGCGACTACACGGAACGCCGTTACTTTCCCACCGTGGTGATACCTATTTTTTGCATTTTGCATGCTTTCGAACCACTAAGTTGGCAGGAGCTGGGACAAGCGACGGAGGCTCACTCCATCACATGGATTCAATTTTACGACTGCAGGTCTTGTGATCTTGCAGCACAGAGGCTTCTGCGGTTTAACTCGCAGTACCACCATGTCCCACTTTTTTCACTTTAGTCTTTCTTATAAACAGATGAAAAAAACAACCCCAAATGGCCAAAATATGTTTCAAGTACATGTAAAGAGGGCAGGATGGGTAGGTATCCATCTCTCAGTGCACTGGCTTATTTTCTATATTATTTGATAGATCCAAATATGTAGCAGTAGCAAAACTGAAGACTTAAAGTAAAATAATGAAGCTACCCTTCAGCAAGCCACAGCCTAACCTATCTAGGCTTACTGAGGGAAGAACAGGACTGTTCCATATATACTATCTGGAGCTCACTGGAAAAAGCTAGAATAAAAACAACAAATAAATATGTTTTTTCCTGTATATGGCCAATTATTATCAGATTGCCAACCGATTACCTCACACTAGTAATATCAAATGATTTACCTGTGCGTTCTGCACCAACTTGGCATATAATTTTGCTTTTCTTCTATGAGCAAGAACTTTACTCTTCTTGGTGAAACAGGATTTCATTTTGTTCAATTCTGCTCCAAAGCCTTTCAGCTGCAGTGGAAGAACATAGCAGCAGCATGAGAGCACGTTCATAAGACTAGAAAAGAGACCCCATTGATAACTTAGTAGCAGCACACTACAGTGTAGTTGCATCTCCACTCATAGTGGATCCTTCTGCCCAAATAACAGGGCTCCCTTTCTTCCCTCTTAGCTTCCGATACTGCACTGTCCCCCATTCAGCAGGGTCCCCCAGCCCAGGTTTAACGTTCTAAAATCAGAAATGGCATGTGCCTATGAATGCAACTTTCTGAAGGATTCTGTGCAAATCTAAAGTGTAGTTTACAGGTTGCTGTGAAAAAAGCCCTCATCACAGCAAGTTCATGAAAAGCCTCGTTCTCTCAGACAATGTTCTTATTACTTAAAATATAAACAATATATTTAGAAAAAGTAAGCCTAATTGGCAAGGTTCCCACTAAGCTTGGCACACAGATGCATGACTCCTCTTCCCTCCATGCAGGTCTCTTTCTCCGTGCAGCAATCGCGAGGTTCAGGTCATGATGGAATCCAGTGCGTGGGGTGTCGAGTTGTGCGCGCATGCAGGGGTGAAGCCACAAGAGAGATGGACCCCCACCCCCTGGGGCTGAAAATTAGAGGTACGTTGCTAATTGGTACTCCCAGCGTATGTCTGTAATGAACTGTCATGCTTATACCACAAACAGCTTAAGCAAACTATACCACATTCAACACGTACCATTCAGTACTATAGATTTGTTACAGGTGTTAATTTTTTTTTCTCCCCCCAAATTAAATCGGACCTGTTGCAGTTTATTATGTTGGTATGGACAGTCAATTCATTATGTCTATTTCCAGGCTGACTGATATTCTTCCACTAAAGAATTCCCTCTTTTGCTATGTTTACTTCTCTTCATCTATAGCCAAATGATGGACAACTCATTCTGTATTACTGACATCAGAAAACTCCGGCTACTTCTGAACACCAAATGGACCAAACTCTTCATTTTTTGCATTACATCAAGCTTATTTTGGTAAAGGTGCTCACCTGTGTATGTATGTTCAGTTTTTTGTTTCTTTTAGAAAATTAACTAAGCCAAAGGAACAGACCTTTGTTCTAAAAATAGCAAGTACATAAGGGCAGTTAATGCACAAAGAGCAACAGAAAGATAAACAAACACAGAAAAAGCAATGTAAAAACTGCAACATTGAAGCACTAATGTAATGACTACATTAGTGCAAAATAGCTGTCCATACCTCTTCATCAGAACAGGTTCTCATTACTTCCCATAGACTTTTATGGACATTCACCAGAAGTTTATCTTGGTCAACTGCATGTGACTTTAATCTGAAATATCATTAAGTATAGTATTAGTAAGTATATTTTCTTCAGGAGTTTCTAGAATCTAATCTGAAATAAGATCTTCCCCCCTCCACTGTTTTGTTTCTTCTAAAAAAAATTAATTTTACTATGTGCACGAATAGTTCTACTCTGACTGTGCTCAGTTTAGCACAGTAACACACAACTCCAGTAGGCACAATTAAATCAATGGAACTTACAGAGTTAACTTGCTAAATCAACAATTGAATGAATCTACTCTAGTACAATTTACTACACTAAGCAACAGAATTTTGGCCAATGTGTTATTTGCATAAATTATCTGAACTCTTAAAAGAAAAAAATGTGTTTAAGGGGTGTGGTGATCACCCTGCTCTTGCTCATGTAGGAGGTTATCTGCATACACCAATGGGAGCTGTTGGGAGGCGGAGCCAGAGAAACTAGAAGGGAAGGGTGAGGCAGAGAAGGAGAGTTTTGTGAGTTAGTCAGTTTCAGACAGAGATGCGAGTCTGAAGTGAAAAGTTAGTCTGTGGGAGTTGGAGAGTGTGGTAGAGTGAGGAGTTAAGGGATGCAGTTGTGTGGAACTTATAGAGAGTTAAGAGTGAAACAAGTGATTACAAAACTACTGAATACAGTACTTTAAAGTCTTTAAAGAACCTGTTTAAGTGAACTGTATCCAATAAACCTGTTTTTGTTAAACTTTACAATCAGCATGGACCTCAGTCTTTTTAACTGAACATTGTTGACAGAGATCAACTGGTGGCAACATAAAGGAGGGAATGTGTTGTGGGCCTCAGGCTAGTGAAATAATCTGGAGACACACAGGGGCATGTCACAAGGGGTTCAGCCCAATTTTTCTGCAAAGTTAACACATTTTATTCAACTGCACATTCAGCCTACAATTTATCCTTTATCTTTAGTTACCAAGATGTTCTTGGCTCCCGTCATCATCCAAAATACCTGTTACATCTGTCTCATTCAATTCCGCTGTTTACATGTTCAAATACCAGAGCAAATATTTCATCCAGATAAACATTTGGCATTTAAACTGGGTATAGCTGAAAGGTTTTGTCGATGGTTCAATGTGTTTTTGCATTTTAAAAAAATCTACTTTGGATTTTCATTTCTTTTTTAAAACAGAGTTTATGTTAACGAACTTAAGTGCCATTTTTCACAGAAAAGGGTATACATTTAAGAAAAATGTTTCAATTGCTCTTCCTGATTTACCACCAAGTAATACAGTGGAGGGTATTCAACTGTTTGAAATAAAATGAATAAAATTATGAGGACCCTGGTAACAAATATGGTCAAGTGCATTTATTGCATCCTGGAAGATTAAGAGAAAAGGTCAAAGACAGATACAGAAAACAGATCAGGATAACTTGCATACTCTAAACAGGGCAGAAAATCATAATATCATTCTTCATAACTGCTTGTAAAGCTGCTTATAACAATTGTCACGAAACCATATTAAAGACAGCAGCTGAATACAGTACCTATTCTATTACAATTCCTATTGTCTTTCTGTTACATATTAAAATATATTTTTATTTTGAAAAAATTGCAAGCATCTTACTCTTCTATTGTCTTGTAGAGGCCCTGACAGTCTTCCTCATAAGCCTGCAACTTTGGATGATATATGTATTGGCTGAGAATCTCATCTTCCAGGGTAGGAAGTGTGTTGACTTCATACTACAAAACAGAAAAGCCCAATAAGGTTCTCTACATTAAGAATCTAAAATACATGATATACGTGGCAGGAAGAGTCTGAGCTTCAGTGTACCCGTCTTGTTGCAATAGTTTCAAAGAGACCAGTTGGGTTTTATTTTGCAAAGTAACTTCTTCATGACATAGCATAAGAAATAACTAAATTTGGCTCAGTCAGGTTCAGTAATGAAGATGTAGGTTGGCTGAAATGACTACACAAACTAATAGAATATTATTTATGAGTACTGAATAATCTCATTAAACATTTGGTAAAAACATTTACTTTTTGTTTACATTGATATTCTTATGTTCAAAGACACCCAGAATGGTGTACATTATAATTCAACAGCCATTACACATATAAATATGTGTAACAACCTAATAACAAAATATTTCACCAAATAAATGGTAAGAACACAATTGAAATGAACCATAAACTCAGCCAGAAGTTCTACTACATGACAATTGGTGAAATAAGAATTTCACAACATCCAAAAGTCTACTCAAACAATTCTGCCTTACGTTCTTTCCTAAATCTCTGCAGATATATCATGCTGGGGCTCACTCTAACTGAGGCAGTAACATGAAAACATCTTTCCTAATATATTCAAGCTGATCAGATTTAATATAGTTGCCATCTTTAAAAGGATGTTCTGGATGACCTGAATTAGCTCAAGAACTCATATGGGTAGAAGGTATCCAGCTAGTGTGTCAGGAATGAGGTCTTTTAATGTTTCAAAAGCAATAACCAGTAACTTTAATTTAGCCTTAAAAATCACCGGTAGCCAATGTAACTGGCATCAAATACATGCCAGTAAATTCAGAAACTTCTGAATTGCCTTCACATTGAGTAAATTATAGTTGCCTAATTTTGAATTTACATTAACATGGATCAGTGTGACTATATTGGTTTCCTCCAAGTAAGAGGAATGTTTTATGACCAGGACAGAGGGGAAAACATTGACATGGCTACAGCTGCCACTTGTTCCTCCAGGAGAAACATTGGGCTTGACAAAATAGTCAAGCTCCTTAACTAGTTCATAAGGGCAATTGCCCCCACATCTACCTTTAGAGAAGTGACAGTTTTATTTATCAATTCCTGAGTAACCATGGATTCAACTTCCATTTGTTAACTTACAGCTACTTGACCATGGACTCCAGACAATGAATAAAAACTTCTATGGCCATTCCAGCTGATTAGTCAATAGTAAATTATAGTTGCCTAATCTTGAATTTACATTAACATGGATCAGTGTGACTATATTGGTTTCCTCCAAGTAAGAGGAATGTTTTATGACCAGGACAGAGGGGAAAACATTGACATGGCTACAGCTGCCACTTGTTCCTCCAGGAGAAACATTGGGCTTGACAAAATAGTCAAGCTCCTTAACTAGTTCATAAGGGCAATTGCCCCCACATCTACCTTTAGAGAAGTGACAGTTTTATTTATCAATTCCTGAGTAACCATGGATTCAACTTCCATTTGTTAACTTACAGCTACTTGACCATGGACTCCAGACAATGAATAAAAACTTCTATGGCCATTCCAGCTGATTAGTCAATGAAAAATATAGCTGAGTGTAATCAGCATATTGATGGTATATAACACCAAAACTATAAATAAGAAGACTCCCTGGAAAAGACCCTGATGTTAGGAAAGTGTGAAGGCAAGAGGAGAAGGGGATGACAGAGGATGATATGGTTGGACAGGGTCACCAAAGCTACTAACATGAATTTGACCAAACCCCTGGAGGCAGTGGAAAACAGGACGGCCTGGTGTGCTCTGGTCCATGGGGTCACGAAGAGTCGGACACGACTTAATGACTAAACAACATTAATGATCTGACAATAGACTCGTTTTAATTTTACAAAGAGTTTTCAAGGTCCACATGTATAATAAAAAGAAAAAACAGCAGCAACATAAGGCAAGGCAAGAACTGAGGAAATCACACTAAGATAAAACAGTTAAGTAACTGATCAATTAAATATTTTGTCAGATATCTACATGAGAATTTGGAGGGAACTGAACATGAACATGAGTGCTTATTTAGCTGAAAAACAGGTCCCATATTTCACAAAAATAAGAAGTTAGAAAAGTTCCCTTTTCTAAGTGAACGTATCTGCTGGATTAGTTTAGCACTGGTACTAAGACCAAGCCTTGGGGAGTTCCACACAATACCCAAGGGCTGATAATTAGTTTTCCACAAAAACTTTCTAGGTCTTCTTGCAGAGGAAAAACAAATACCATGGTGCCTCGCATAGCGAGGTTAATTGGTTCCAACAGTTAAGTAACTGATCAATTAAATATTTTGTCAGATATCTACATGAGAATTTGGAGGGAACTGCACATGAACATGAGTTCTTATTTAGCTGAAAAACAGGTCCCATATTTCACAAAAATAAGAAGTTAGAAAAGTTCCCTTTTCTAAGTGAACGTATCTGCTGGATTAGTTTAGCACTGGTACTAAGACCAAGCCTTGGGGAGTTCCACACAATACCCAAGGGCTGATAATTAGTTTTCCACAAAAACTTTCTAGGTCTTCTTGCAGAGGAAAAACAAATACCACTAGACCCAGATCTTTCTCTATTCTCCTCAACAATATACCATGATCCAGTGTACCAAAAGCTGCTTAAGATCGAATACCATCAGCAGGGATGAATCATCAAATTTATTTACAAACTGAGGCAACAGCTATTTTAAATTTTGCCAGCAAACAGTTGGATGGTGAAAAAGAAGATGACTATTCAGTGGAAGCTACCATTACCACATAGTTGAGATAATGGGCGAATGAGTACTCTATGTTATTAAACTTAAATTTGAAAGCTTATACACTTACTTTGAATGGGAGCTGACTCTGGCGAGGTTTTTGTATCAGAACATGGACTTCAAGAAGTGTGAAAAATTCACGGACTGTTATAGTACCTTCCTGCAGTTTCTGAAAGTAGAATCCAAGCATAACTACTTAAAATAGGCTTATAGCTTTTTAAGAACTATTTGTTTAGAACTTTTATGTTTTAAATTTAAATGATAAAAAACAATATCATAAGCAGAAATGCAAAACAAAAAGCAGACAGGAACTAAATTCATTTCTATAGGCATGGATATTCCTCCTCTCACAAGCAACTTCTGAAAGTGGATTCAGAAGGGGTCATCCCCTTCCCACTGCAGTTTCCTGTATATGCTAAAACTTGTTTAGGGGCTGGAAACCAGTCAAACAGGTTTTTAATACTGCACAGAAGTGGAGGAGAAAGGGAAGAAAGCCTCAAAGATGCTGCACTGGATTTCGCCCAAAAAGCTTATGGGAATAAAAATGTCTAAACTGTTCTTCTAAAACAGGAAATGATGCTCATTTGAACTCAAGAAGGAAGGCAAGCAGTAACTCTGACAATACACTTCTTGACAGCAAAGGGAATTAAGAAAGTTAAGCTTCTAACATACCTCCCGCAAATTTTGTTCACAAATACTGTCTAAGAGAAGCTGAGTTTCCATTTCAGTATTCCGCTGAACTGAGAAGAAAACATAAATCTGCTGAACAAGTAAATTGTGTTTCACACTTAAACAAAATATCCACAACAGATCAATGCCAAGTAAAAACTATTCGATCCGCCAAGTGCTTTAAAAAAACCTTTGCTTTTCATTTCTTAAACATATCACAGACAAAATCTCTAACCTTTGTATTTCTGGTCCTGGCAATCCTGTAATCACTGAGATATTAACAAGGAGGAAATATATATACGTATATATGAATTCATAGCACAGAAAGTGTTAAACATATGAACAATATAGACAGTTAAGTTTTTGTTCTCTAAAAACTAAACACATCCAATATTTATTAAGAAGATGCAGGGCAAGCACAGGGAACAGAAGGTCACTTGTCTGTAACTGTGTTTCTTTGAGTATTCATTCTGTGCACTCACATGTCTAGGTTAGAGCACCTGCATGGTACACCACTGGAATCTTCCTATAATCTGCATATCCAGTGCTTTCTCCTTCTCCCTAGCCTACTATACATGCCCCCCTTCTCACTTTCCAAGTTGTCCACTATCACCAGGAAAAACTGTGACTAATGGGGAGATGGGAGACAGCACTCAAAGAAACACAGTTTCAATTAAGTAACCTGTCTTCCTTTTTCATGGTCTTTTGTGATTCATGCAACTTGGTTGATTAGCAAGCACCTATGCTGGAAGATGGGAATCATGGTGTCACAGAAGATGAAATAGCTCTGTCAAAAGAAGCGTCTCTCTGAGCACAGAGATCCAGCTTATAATATTTAACAAATATCATAGGCTGAGGCCAGAGAGCAGATTTACAGATATAATGCAATGGTATACCTTTCAAGGCAAAAAAAAATGTTACCTCTGCCCTCATAGAGTGACTCTAAGGCTTGCCAGGCTATGGAGCTTTATCAATGTCATAAGCCAATTGAATCAAATTAGCCACTCATTTAGTTACCGTAATCTCTGAGATGAGACAAGAAGACCTTTATGAGGTCCCTCATAGCAAACAAAGAGATACTTACTCTGCCTGAATTATTTTGTTCTAGATACATAAAACACCAATGCTGTTCTAATATCTAGGTCAGGGGTCTCCAAATTTTTTACCCTGAGGATTACACCAGATGCTTTCAAGATCTTAGAAGGCTGAAGGAACAGGCATGTACATGCCCTACCCACCTCCACAGGTGCCTGGACGCATGCATGCACCACCCCCTTGCATGCACGAGGTTAAAGGAATGGGCCAGATAAAATGGATGTGACCCACTGGCTGTACTTTGGAGACCCCTTATCTAGGACATGCAATGATCTCTCTAACTGTAACCATAGATCTTGGTAAAAAGATGTAACACTATTGGTTGTGAAGAATGGAACAGTATTACCATCTTAGGAAGAAACAATGTATGGAAATAACATGACCATGTCCTTGTTAAACTGAATATATGGCACATCAGACCTTAGGGCACACAATTCACTGGCTGACATTATTGCAACAAAGAAAGGAGCCTTCATAAGAAGTCTTAAATCTGTAGTAGCAAGGGCTCAAATGGAGAATGCATAAGTCTTGAAACACCAGAGATAGTCCACAGCATTGCTGGCAGCTTAGTTTCAGGAAAGGCATTCATCAAACCCTTAAGAAAGTTTTTAATACCCTGTTTCCCTGAAAATAAGACCTAACCTGAAAATAAGCCCTAGTATGCTTTTTCAGGATGCTTTATAAGCCCTACCCAAAACATAAGCCCTAGTTAAGTGAAACCCTGCCCTCCACAACTGTGCAGCATTGTGCAGCAACCAGAAAATGAGATGACTGTAAAATAAAACATCCCTGAAAATTAAGCCCTAATGCATTTTGGAGCAAAAATCCTCTCTTATTTTCGGGGAAACACAGCAGGGTGTGCAAAACATTTGAAAGAGGGATGATTTATTGGCTGATTGAACACGATAGCCAATAAAATAGATCTTCAAGAACATTGTTGAAAGACCAGATTCCTTCAGATGTAGTAGAAATAACATCACCACATTCAAAGAAACAGGTATTGTCTCAGCCATTTAGATTTATAAAGTTGCCTTGGACGTTAGAAGACTTTCTAGCACATGAAAGTACAGTCAACCTTCAATTTACGAACTTAATCCATTCCGGAAGGACGTTCGTAAGTCGAAAGGTTCGTAAGTCGAATCAGCATTTCCCATAGGAATGCACTGAAAACCAATTAATCCATTCTGGCTGGTTTTGATTCTTAGGTCGAGGGGCGGTTTGTAAGTCGAAGCTAATGCAAAGCCGGTTAATCCGTTCCTACCACTAGGGGCAGAATTTTTCCCCTTTTAACCTAAGATTACTTAGGTTAAAAAAAGAGGAAAGAAAAGAGTTCGTAACTCGAAGCAAAGTTCACAAGTCGAGGCAATAATTTCCTATCAGAGTCAGAATGTTTGTAACTAGGACTGTTCGTAAGTCGAGGGTTGACTGTATATTTCTTATACCCGACAAATATTCCAAGCAGTCAACTTCAGATTTTGAATGTCTGGGTGGAGAATCCTATTTTGGTAGGTTAATAAGCCCTTTTCAATTGGGAACTGAAAATTATCCTTGGCTGCTAGAAGAAGGGAGGCAAACCAAGGTTTCCATGGCCACCATGTGGTCAATAGTATTATATCAACTTGCCCAGTTTTTACTAATGGCCCATGTATCAATGGGATTGGAGGGAACATATACAGCAGGAGTCTGTGCCAACACATCTCCAAAAGAATTAAGGCCTCTCCCTGCCCAAGAGCAGGGACTGTCCAATGGCTTTCAATGGAGAAAACAAAAAATCACCAAAAATTAAGGACGCCTCAGAACAACACCAAATTAAGTTTGCATAGGTTTCAGGAGGTGGGCTAACGATTGCAAGCATTTAAAATACTTTTCAAACAGTTTAAGGCACTTTTACAGGAGCGAAAAGGGACTTCGCAAACCCATTCAAATGCATTAAGTCGGCTTCAATGCATTTCAATTGCGGAACTGTGTTTCCCTCAACGATGTTTCCTATGGGGATTTTCGCTTAAGGACTGCAATCCGTTCCAATTGGAACAGATTAACCGGTTTTCAATGCATTCCTATGGGAAATGGTGTTTCACAGAACGATGTTTCACAGAACGTTTTTTTTTGGAACCAATTAACATCGTTGTGCGAGGCACCACTGTATACACAGTATTACAGAGCTCCTTTATCTACTGGGTTAGTTGAACTGAAAATAATTAGGTTAGAAAGGATACTTACTGCTGAAGTCTGCATCAGCCTTAACTGAACCTAAAGAGCTGCTGTTGCTGCTTTCTGTCTTCTCCAGTGACATTTCTGGAACATTTTTACCCTTAAAGGTTTTTGCTTGTTTATGAGTTACCATAGCGCTCACATGGGACTGAAAATAAAACAGCAATGATTCAATATATATTTGATAAGCAAGACCTATCAAAGTATTTCTTAAACTTTGCTGTGTATCAACAGAAATTATTAGATTATCTATGATAGCATATTATGCAGAAGGCTGTTAAATTCTCAGGAAGCTTGTTAGAAGAATAAGGGATTGCAGCCTATCTGAATGTAAGTCTCAACAAATTCAGTGGGACTTTTGAGTAGTTGTGAGACACAGAAATATGCAGCATATTCTATTTATAATTAATTTTTACAATAGAATTTACACAGAAGGTTTAAATACAACTGCCCAGTTATATTGGTCAACCTAAAGTGTCATAAACCTTAATCTGAAAAATAAGTGTAGCGTTCTCCTTTTATTAGATCTATGGTTCTTGTTGTATTATGTAATGGTTTATGAATATTCATATCGCTGAGAGGCAGAGTCAGAGGGGAGATTAAGTGAGATTTTACACAGAAGGTTTAAATACAACTGCCCAGTTATATTGGTCAACCTAAAGTGTCATAAACCTTAATCTGAAAAATAAGTGTAGCGTTCTCCTTTTATTAGATCTATGGTTCTTGTTGTATTATGTAATGGTTTATGAATAGTCATATCGCTGAGAGTCAGAGTCAGAGGGGAGATTAAGTGAGATTGAGTCAGTTAGAGAGAAATGTAAGAGAATCAGGCAGGAGAGAAAAGCCAGACAGTGTAATAGAGTGTGTAGTTTGGGAAATTTACAGTAGATGTGATTAGCTACTGAAGTTATTTATGAATCTCTGTAATCAATAAACCAAAGTTTAATTTAAAAGAATTTGAAGTGTGGACCTGAATCTTTCTGAAGTAATGGTGAGAGATCACCTGGTGGCAGCAAGCCTAAAAGGAGAGAGAGTTTGCCCTTGTGTGCTCTGAGGCTTGAAGGTCAAGCAAAGGGGCAGGAGGGTGGAAGCCACAATAAGGGTGTTCACTAAACTATACTCATCATTAGAGGCTATATTTATATTTAATGTCTGTGTATTGCCTCAAACCCAAATGAAGTTTGTAAAAACTCCTTGTGTAATAAAACCAAGCACAGCAAAATTCCCTGCTTGGCCATGGAAATTCTCTCTCTCTCTCTTGTTCTCTCTCTATGTGCATATGAATGGTAAATCACTCCTTGAATACTACCTTGTTTCACCATAACTCAGAAGCAACTTGACAGTACATAACAATAGTAGGTGATTCATCATAACAGAAACCAAATTAAAGAAAAAGCTATTAAAAAACAGGTTCTTCAAAATTTTCTTTAAAGGCCACTTTTGCTTGTACCACCAGTACCTCCCCCCTGCTTCACATACTTTCATTAATATCCTCTCTTTTTAAAATAAATTTTTAAAAATTAAAAGGACAAGTAGTAAAGAAAAGCAATTGGCTACTTCAGAGGGTATGGGGCCCACTACCTCCCACCAAAACTGGAAATGGCTAGACTCTTATTTTAAAGCAAAATTTTACAAAACTTTTGAAAAGCAAAGTGAGGCACACAGTGATTACGAAACTTGGCTTAAAATACAATTGCATTTCCAGAAACAATTCTCTAACTTTTAGCCAAAGAAAATTTCTTCCAGGAAGAAAGGGGAAACTGCAGGGGCCACAAAAATAGGTGCACAGCTATGTATCACCATGCGTTGCTGATTCATGCTTTAGGAAAATGAAACTTCAGTTCCTTATCAGTTACTTCAGTTCCTTTAGTTACTCTTACAGTAGAGAGCCATATAAGTTAATCATATAACAGATTATTTTTAGAATATCCATGCTAGCTTGTTACAGCAAATGGAACAGAAGTCTTACGACACTTCTGACTACCATATTTTACTTAACCTGTATTTTCTGTGGACTGCAGACTACTTATATTTGATGAAATGGACTGGAATCCAGGGGAGCATAGGTCAATTTTTTTAAGTCTTTAAGATTTCACAAAACTTTGTTACAATAAATATTTAATCCCCAAAGAACAATATAGCATGACAAGTAAAATACTGTAATAATCACTACAAGACCATCTGAATTTACAGGAACTACATCACATCAACATTTAGCACAATATCTACTATCATATATGTACTTCATTCTGTAATAAACAGAAGTCAATTCAAACTTAAGTAACTATATACCAAATTAGTCATCTTATACCCACCTGCGGCAAATCTGCAGCATCATTCAAGTCCTGATTTCCCTTGAATTTTTTTTCTTTTTGAAGTTCCTCCTCTTCATTCAAAACTCTCTGCCTCTTATTAGTTTCATACATTTCAGATAGGTAGCCTTCCTTTTCAGCAATCTCTTTTTCTTTTATCACCTCACAAACCTTTTCCGATGCATTACAATTTAGAGACTCATCAGAATCCATTTCCTCTACATATGCAGGAAGCAACTCTTCATTTATATAATTGGATGGACTCAAGTTTGCAATTTTATCTGATGGACTTTTAACAATGAGACCGTTTTGTGAATCATCAATTTCTGTTCTCTTTTCTGATTTGGCGTCAATGGCTTCTGCATTAGATAGAGAAGACTTTCTTTTATTTGGCAGTTTAGGTGGAAAGATACCTAAGGGTACTTTTTTAATTTCACAGCTATTTGTGCATACTGCATTTATGGGTACTTTGAAAGGAGCATTTTCAGTAAAACCAGTGTTAGTCAATTTTTTAGAAGAAATATTGGACTCCTTAGCATCCTCCTTCAAAACTGAAGGACTATCTGATTTCACTGTCAGCTCTGGCAATGCATCCCCCAAACAGGATTCTACATCTTGACAGATTAAATCAGGCTCTGACTTCTTCCTTCTATCTTTACGCTTTGAACAGATATTGGCAGCACCAGATATTTTAGGTAAAAGGACGGGCTTCTCTTCTGAAGGAAATGTGTTGACGGGAAGGGATTCTAAATTTTGCCAATCCTTGCTATAGTTATTCAATTCACCAGACATAGCTTCATAACTATTAGTTATTTTGCCATCATCTGAAAGATCACTAGTTTCTCCAGGGTATTCATGTCTTTGCCAAGACAACTTCTTTGGATCACCTTTTGAATTCTTGTTTTCACTCAGTGGTATGTACATTCTATTTGTGTTTAAATCATGGAAAGCTTCTTCAGATAACTTTGGATCTAAGTTTTGCATATTAACTGGAAACATAAAATCATTTTCTTTATTAGAAACAGCCTTTAATGTAGCATCTTTTCCAAAATCATTAATTTCAGATATGCTGGATTTTAGCTGGTTATCTTTAATTTTCAAGAAATTATGTTGCTCTTGGGGAATAAGTAGCATCTCTGTTTCTGAACAAGTGGAATATTTATCCTTTACAGTTTGGGAAATATTTAATTTCTTTTCACATGTGATAGCTGAAGCAGAAAATTCAGAGTTAGATTTGGCCTGGGAATGTAAGTAGCATTCATTATTATTTATATGCATACATTCAATTTCTGTTGTGTAGTTTCTTGTCACATCCATATTCTCACCACCTCTTGAGTTTGTGAAAGAGTTTTGTACTTGGTTTTCAACATCAGGCACATTGTTATTAGAGCCATATATAGAAACGGTGTGATTTTCTGCAGATTCTGTATCTTTTGTTTTTCCACCATAGACAAGGGGAAGTACTTTAATCAAATTTTGCTGTATACTTTTATTTGGCATTTTGTTTCTCTCAGATTCTTCCAGATCCCCACTATCGACAGTATTAGTTGGCAAGTTAGTGACTTTTGTGCCATCCTGGTAAGATGTGACAGAAAAAAGGGGCTTGTCATAGCTATCTGGTAGGTTATGTATGCTTCTTTTGCAATCAAGTGAAATTATATGTTTTTCACTGACATTCATATCAACTACTGCTAATGCCACCATACTTTTTGAAGAAAGGTCCCATTCAGCATTCTTTCCAAGTTCTGTGGCATTCTTATGCAAATTTTCTCTAGTGTTTTCAGAAACAGTATGAGATTCTGTAATGTCTATATTATCCTGACAAAACAGGTCTTGGGGAAGTTTTTCACATTTGGGAAAACTGTCATAGTTAACTGCCACTGTATGGCACTTTGTAATTTCCATTTCATCATAGCACAGTGAAAGAACAGAAGAGTTGTCTTTAACTGATCCCGACAATGTGATTTCTTTAGCCTCTTTTCCCTTCTGTGGCAAATATGAAGAAAAGCTGTTTTTCAGAAATGCATCTGATACTGATTTTGTTATTTCCATGTCGTCATTGTGCATAAATAACACAGTTTTATCTACAGGAACAGGAACTGTAGATTGAGTTATGGTTGTGCCACTACTGAGTACAGGCATATTTGTTTTATCTACAAGAGCTGAAATCAGCCCTTGAGTATTTAACTGGGCCTGCTGGAGAATATCATGGTTTACTGCTACTGTATGGCTCCTTGTAATCTCCATATCATTGATTGCCTGCAATTGTATAGGTTTCTCTTCCTTGGATTTTCTTGATAAAATTCTCTTGCTAGTTTCTTGTATGCTGCATTCCATATTCTTTGAACCATTATCCTGCATAGATATGCATGTTAGTGGTTTAGTTATTTCCATGTCATTGTTGTGCATAAAAAGCACAGTTTTATCTGCTACAACAAAAGGTATGGTTTTACTTTTTGCCATACTGCTATGTACAGACATGGTTTTCTCTGGCAGAAGTGAGGACAGTGTTTGAGGAGCTCCCTCTACTGTCACCAAAAGGCTCTCTGTAAGTTTCATTTCATTGTCTTCATTCTGGGAATGCATAATCTTTCCACTAGACAATCCATTTATTCTCTTACCAGGGTTTACTTTTTGTTCTACTACAGCAATGGAGTCAGTTGCATTTCTCAGGGATTTATCAGTTAGACTAACAACTGGATTAGTTATGTCCATATGCTCACCTTGGGTGACAGCATTATGATCTAGCGCCAGTGTGTGGCTTCTGCTAATTTCCATTTCATTCTCATCACTGAGGGAAAATACAGTAGTTCTATCCTTGGTTGACCCAGTCAATGTCCTTCTAACAGACTCATTAATCTCTTTGTGCATTTCTGGACTTCTGGCATTTTCCATAGGCTGATCTATTATGCCAGTTATGGCTTTTGTTTCATCCATATCAGTATGGTACACAGTTCTATCTATATGTTGTAAGGAGAGTGGTTGAGCAGTTCTTCCACATTGCTGCATATCAAAGTTTACTGGTACGGTGTGGCTCTTGGTAATCTCCATTTCATTGTATCCTGTCAAGGAAAATACAACAGTCTTATTGCTATCTGATCTGGTCATACTTCTTGTATTAGTTTCCCACTCTTCCTGTGGCATTCTCTGGAATTCAGCAACATCTGGATTGTTATTTGTCGAGTTTGTTGTGCATTTAGTTATTTCCATGTTTTGACTGAAAATGGGTGTAGCAGTTTTATCTTCAGGAATTAAGGATATTGAATTGTTTGAAAGCCCGCTTGTGCTATTAATTTTACTGTGTATTTCTGATGTCTGAGCCCTGTCATCATCAGCCGGTGAAAGAATCTGACTCTCTCTTTGCTTTCTAGAACTCTTGGAAACAAAACTGCTATTTAAGATTCCATTTTTTGAAAAGACGACAGATGATCTTTGTGGTTCATCACAATGGAAACAATCATTTTCCTTCTTCTCAGGAAGGCATGACACCTGAGGAACAGGTTTTATTCTTTGATTTAGTTGTCCCATATTATTACAGGTAACCTCTTCGTTAGGAACAGCTTTTTCATTGGAGAATATAGAATACTGAGTATTTTTTAGAAAATAATTTGTAGAAATGTCCATACAGTCCTCCCTACAAGTTGTTCTCTCAAGCTTGGAAACATCAGTCTTCCCTTTTTCAGGATCTCCATGAATAGGATATATTTTCTTGGAACTGTCTTCCCATATTAAACGTGTGTCATTCCTTGTTAGTTCCATAGTTGTAGAGATTCTCGAAAATGTAGTTGTTGCATCTTTAGAATGAACAGGCATAGAAGTGACAGATCCAGTTGCCACAGCCATGGTACTAGTTCTGTAACAAGGCAGTGAGTTATCATTCTTGGTTGCCATAATACTATTCTTTAGGTTAGTATTGGTTTCTGTTGTATTCTTAGTTTTTTCATTAATACACATACTTGGGTCCAGCTGAACACCAATTTGATAATTTGAAACATCTCTTCTGCAATTTTCTTGTTCACTCACAATATTGCATACGCTAGTTCCAAGTGGCAAACTTCTTTCTCCGTTAGCAGTAAACATCTCCACACTTTCCTCTTGAGCAGGTGGACTCATTTCTTGAAATCTTAACTGCTTTGAAGCAAATGAGATGCCCTTATTAGATAAAACAGGATTTAAATAGTTTCGCTTAAGATCATTTAGTCCTTTAGAAGTAGTGATCGTATTATTTTCCTCCCGCAATACATTATCCTCAGAAGCAACAATATCAGCAGTCAGTGTGGGAAGTTGTTTAGTGGACTTCAAACTTTTTAAAAAGTCACCAAAGTTAACTTTCTGTGTGTTTTCACTTTTTCTCTTGTGCTGAGATGAGCAGGTGTTATTCATAAATGTAGGACCACTGAAGAAGTTGAATTTATTCACTTGTGAGGCCTCCTTCTTTGATTTTAAATCATCTGAAAATGATTTGAAGTCTATTTTTCCACTGTTGTCATTTTCTTGACAGTTTTTAATGTCATGGGTAATCAGTATAGTGTGACCAGATGTCATATCCATTTCATTTTCTTCTGAAAAGATTAGTGTTTTATCTATTTTGTTCCATTCTAGACCACTGTTTGCATAAAAAACCTAAAAACAGCAAAAAAAAAAAAGAAAAAGAGAAGAGTTAAACATAATAGCTTAACAGGGGATTTTTATAGATACTGAAATGCCTAGTTTGCCTTATTGGCTAGTTACAATGCAAAATTTGCCCTTGGTTTCACAGAAGTCTATTCCCTTTCGAAAGCCTAGTTCCAATGTTCAAAGTTTCCTACCATAGTTAAAGAGACAGCCTCCCCTCTTCTAGCTGGAGAGACAAGTAGTATGCCAGGAATATTGCTGCTCCTTCCAACCTTAGAGAAAACAGCAGATTTCCCCACCTCACTCACATTATTAACTGGAAATCTGAGACTGAAAGTGGGGTGGTGGTGGGATGCTCATGTTAACTCCACTCTGAGATAACAGAGTACAGTATTTTCCATGCAGAGAGAGGGATGAAAATCTTTGATTCACTCTTTACCAAAGGGAAAATGAATGTCAGGAGAGGGGATGGTCAAGATAAGGAAGGTGTCAGACTTACATGCTTGACTCTTCCTACAGAAATTCTACAAGTCCCACAGAAATTTCATAGACTTCCAGGAAACAAACACTATAGGCTGAAAGTGTTTCATGCATGACTGCAGCAGAAATGAACAAACAACTCCAGCTTAAATATGTTACCAGTTTCACAAAATGCTTGTCCCCTAGACCAGTGGTTCTTAACCTTGGTTTACTCAGGTGTTTTTGGACTGC